CAAAAATAGGCACTTTTCATTTGACTGATATCAAAAACACCCTAGTGTTCACATTCTTGCCATTAAAGTAAATTCGTTCAACACATCTTAACACGCCGACAATGTTCCATTAAGAATTAGATGTTTGGCTTAATTTGGGTATTTCAAAATTAAACAAGAAGAATTTTTTTTGTTTTATTCTTTTTATCTATATCTTCTGATCTCAAAAGGGTTCAAACACGTTTTTTCAACTGAAAAATAAAATTTCGATAAACCAATTTCTTCCATGAAAAGTAAACATTTTGATAATTTCAACTCAATTCAATTTTTTCGTCTTGAATAACTTTTTCTGGAACACATTTGGTTCAAACGTGAAAATATTTTTTCTCCATTCGTAAAATTTGGAATCACCTGCCATACAAGAATCACCCGCCGTTCTCACAGCGGCTTTGCATTTTGAAACATTGTTTTCATTAAAATGAGGCAAATTAGTATTTAGGTGGTTCAGCTCAAAATCGAGCGGTGTGAAAGTTCTTCATTTGATGATGAGCCGACTCTAGATATCGAAAACAATGCATTGTTTGCGCCATGGTGCACCACATCGGTTATTAAGATGTAAAACCAAATAAATGATCGTACGAATTGGTACACAATTTGCACAGATGCCACACTCTTAACCGCATTTTATTTTTGGTTAACATGCAAACAACTGCAATGTACTCAACAATAATACCATTTAATTCCTCGACGAAAATGGGATAAGAATGTGCACTACATAATTAAAGACTTTCATTTAAATTATATCAATCATTTTATTTACTCAATTTATGATTGACTGTCGATATTCTACAGTACTTTAAATCGAATCTTCCATTCAGAAAATAAAAAAACGTTTTTACGAAACAGAATATTTGAATCAATATTGACAACGCCAATGTAACGTCGTCTAATCTGCGTTGTTTTTATTTTGATGTTGATGTGTGTTTGGTAGATTTGGTACGAGAGACGCGGCTTAACACGCATTTATGAGACAGTAGATGTTGTTGTTGGTTGATTGTGCAAGTGTGTGTGCGTGAGTCGGTACGTCAAATAATCAGCATTTGCTTTGCCGGAACATCGACAATGTCAGCGTTTCTGTGATAATTCTGGTGTAATAAAACCTTTTTTTCGGTAGTTTTTGACAATTAGCACGGTAATTAATTATTATTAAATAATTGAAGTGCAACGAGTTACATTTTCAGTCAACGACAGTGGCAAATTTTCGCAAACAATCAATTTAAACATTCCGTCAAATCCTTTTGTGAAGCTTAAAATATTTGTTTTTTTTTTTCGCAATGGCGTTGCATCAATTAATGCGAGCAATTGGACTATTCGTGGTGGCGACAGTGTGTTATATCAGCGTTCATAATGGCACCAGTTTATTTACGTGGCATCCTTGCTTGATGTCCGTCGGCGTATGTACCAAAAACCATCAAAATCACTGAAATTTCATTCAAATTGCTCTTTTCATTCTTAATTCCCACTTTTTCTCTTGCAGTTTATTCTGTTGATGTCTGAGGCGATCGTTGCATTTTCGTCGAAATCGTTTATTGCAACCAATTTAAAGTACAATGATCGATTGAATTTGCATGGTTTGCTGCAATTTAGTGCAGCCACATTGATTGGCATCGCCTTCTACAGCATCTACACGCATAAAAACAACAACAACTATGATCATTTTGCATCTCGCCACGGTAATTTGGGATTTACCACTTGTATCATGGTCGGTGGTACGACAGTTGGAGGCATTGCAGCCCGATACAGTGGCCTATTTAAAAAATCCATCAAACCGGCCTACTTGAAAATCATTCACTCGACATTCGGTGTGATGACCTACATTATGGCCATCTTCACGTTCTGCCTTGGACTCGACTCGGAATGGTTTCGTTCTCAAAGCAATGATCAAGTAGTCTCTGTACTCATCTACTTGGCTGGCGCTGTTGCCTTGTTAGCTCTTATCAAACCGCTTATCTCGATCGCAACCAAGTTGCGCAACACATTCAAGACTCGTTAATAAAAACACACTCAACACAAACTTATCTCTATAGTACGTCCTTTATTATCAACTTTTAAGGGAGCAGCTTACAATAAATTAAAAATATACTTCTTTTTTTGTTGAAATTTCTCGAAATAAAAACGAAATATATAAGTAAAATGCTGGATGCTTTTATTTTAGTTTGAATTTAATTTCCTATGTTTTGAAAGTTTTCTTCTTCTTCATGCATCATGTTCGTATTGTCCTACGAACTGTTTGTCTATAGTCTTTTGTTGTTGTAAATTTTTCAACGAACTGTCAATTGATTTTACATGGTTCCGGCTTTTTTTCGCTTTTTATTAGCTCTCGGCACCGCACAAAGTATTGATCATCATTCCGCCGGTGGATCCAATTTACTTTCACCGTTGACGGCCTCTGGCTTTTTATCTGCAATGGGTTAAATGATTTTTTCATTGAAATTGGCTTTTGAAGAGTTTCCTTTTCATTCCGGACTATGAAAGAAGAAAAAAAAATACCATTTGCATCAGTTTCCATTGGTGTCGGAGGTGGTTGTTGTTGTACTGGTGGTGGCGCATATGGTGCCATTTGTGGTGGCTCATTCAGTTGTGGTGGATTTGGACCAGGTGGCATCACTGGAGCCCCGTGCTCTGATGGATAGTGTGGGCCTTGCCGGTAATATTGATAGTTTGCCGGAGGATGCGGATACATTGGGTAACCATACTGTGGACCTGGTGCGTATTGCGGCGCATATTGTGGATTCTGCCAAAGAAAAAGACAGCTCAGTTAAACCATTTGCATATTTTGGAAGTATATAAAATTGGTCAAAAAGATGAATATTTTCATCAAAATGATTGAAATTGTATCTTCTTTTTTTCTCAATATTTTAATTTTTTTTTTAAATATCTGAAAATAAATCAATTACAGAAATAGAGATACGGAAATAATTTATTGAACTAGATCTGAATTTTTTTCATCAACATTGATTGATTGGCATCAAAGTAGCTTTTCTAAGGAAAATTAGTAACAATTGAATGTCCGAGAATGAAAACGCAACTTCTATTCACAACACATATAAGTGAAACAAAAATAAAAAAATTTATTGAAATGAAACAATACAATCGAATTTTTTCAAAGTGTAACAACAAAAAAGATTTTTTTAAAGTGTAACATCGGTATGTTGTTACACTTACTACATACCGATGTTACACTTTAAAAAAATCTTTTTTGTTGTTACACTTTGAAAAAATTCGATTGTGTTGTTTCATTTCAATAAATTTTTTTATTTTTGTTTCACTTTTATGTGTTGTGAATAGAAGTTGCGTTTTCATTCTCGGACATTCGATTTTGCACAACTGTGAATTTGCTTTTTACCTGTTGTTGATGTTGATATGGTGACCGTGGTGGGTAACCAGTTGGATAACCTGGATGTGGGCCAGCTTGGTGTGGACCAGCTTGATGTGGACCGGCTTGGTGTGGACCAGCTTGATGTGGTGGAATCATTCCTAGAAGAAACAACATGTAATCAATTTGCGGACTCATTTTCAATCGGTATTTTCCAATTCAATTCAAGGTTTTTTCTTCTCTCAATGAAATTCATTCAAAATATTTCAAAACATTCGATTTATTCACCTGCATGTGGTGGTGGTGGAATTTGATTGGGTGGCACAGCTGCTGCAGTGGGTGGTGCCGGCAATGGTTGTTCTGGTTTTGGTGTTGCTTGTGCACTTTCTGGTGGTGGAACAATCGCCTGAGTTGGTGTTGGTCCAGCTTCAACCGCAGATGGTGCAACGGGTGACGTTTTTGGTTCCTTATTGTCCGGAGATGCCATAGTTGGTGGATTCTCGGGTGTTTTGGCTTTTTCCACTTTTTCCACTTTCTCCGGCACGGGTGCTGGTTTCTCTTCAACCTGTGGCTGTCTTGGTTCAGTTGTCGGAGCCTCATGCGTTTTTGCTTTTTCTTGTTTTTCCACTTCTGGTTCAGTACTGAGTGGTTCTGACGGTATGACTGGTATTGCTGCGGGTGCAGCAGCCGACGGAGGTACATCTTGTGGCTCCGGCTCCTTCGGTTTCTCGACCGCAATCGGTACGGGTTCTGATGTTGTCAACTCAGTATTTGTCGTTAATTCTTCCTTCTTCAGATCATTCGGTGCTGGCACAGCAATATTCTCCGATTTTATTGGCTAAACATTAGAACATCCCAATTAAATCGATTCATATCATGAAAACAAAATGTTCGACAAAAGATTTATTACTTTTGAAGAAAAAAACCTATTGTTAAATTAGATTGGCAGTTGGCATTGGTACAGAAAATTAAGATAATTTGAAACAACAACAACAACAAAATACTGCAAAACTTCGTCTGATTTTCCGCAAGCATTTTTCTTTTTTTTTATTCATTTCAGATCGAAAAGCGAATGGGAATATTCCCAGCGTGTAATGTGGAATTTTCATACGTTTCGATTGAATTGAGCTGGTTAGTATGCAATAAACGAAAACAAAAAAGTGATGTATAAAATTGTGTGTGTGTGTGTTAAGAGATATTAAGCATGAGAGTTACCTGTATGGATTGATGCAAGACAATCATCTAACAGGATAAGTATGAGAGTAATAATAATAATGATGAATGTTAGATATAGAAATTTGAACTGGATTATGATTTTGTTTTGATGTGGGTCGACAAAAATTGAGAGAAAAAAGCATTTATAAAAACGAAGCGGCATCAAGTAAAGCGACTAATTTGATAGAGAATAAAGGTCGAATTTGTAACAGCTTCACTTACCTCATGGTCAGTGATTGGCGCTTCAGTGGCTGTATTTGGTGCCGGATGTTCCACACTATTATGTAATTCGATGTCATCGGGCCGAGACAGATTCTTTGAATTCGAATCGTCCATCATGCGTGGCTGACGCATCTTCTCATACATTGTATTGACCAACTTTTGGAACGTATCATCGTCCACAGCCGGCTTGCAATGCTGTAATTGAATTGAAAATTTATTAATTTCTTTTTGGATTTGCTGTAGAAAAATCATCTCAAATTTAGATTGAGTCAGTTTTCTGAAAAAATAAAAACTTTTTTTTTTTATTAAATTCGAACTGAAACTGGTAAATATCGAAAATTTCACTGCGATTCAAAGTCCGACATCAATTTTCTTTATTGACCCATTCAAAATTGAAAACTCTGATGTCAAAAACTCAATGCCAATGCATTGGTATTGTCTCCGTAAATGTACCTTCTTCAGTTCTTCTTGGAAAACATCGCTAGATTCGATAAGTTTTCGTTTTTTCGCCTCGAATTTCTCCTCCATTTGCAAGAGTTCGGCTTCGAGTTTCATTTGATGCATGGTCAACGATTGAACTTGTTTACGCAACACAATCATTCGATTGGTTGTGACAACGGTGCGAACGTCTGGCACCGCCATATCGGAGAAGATTTCGTTGATGAGACGATGATTGCGTACGAAACGTGCATACGCCACATGTTTAACAGAGTAGCCATCATCTTGATCCTCTTCATCTTCGGCCGGTTGAATGTCAATTCGACGATCTTGCTGTGATGCTTTCGTCGGACGCGATGGAGTGTCATGCGGATCATTTTCACTTCCTGCTTTGGCTTTGTTCTTGGCCGCCAAATATTGCAAAAATGCTGGTGAATTGTGGTAGGCCTTCAGAGCTTTGTCGTATTCCGCCTGCAAGCAAACGAATTATAATTCTTATCACTTGATTCTTAGATAAACAAAACGGAAAAATTGACATATTTTCTCCAGAGAATTGAAATAGAAAGAAAATGAAAATTGAATTCGTTAATTCACCTTTTCTTGTTCGTATTCATCGATGTATTCCTGTCGTTCCCTGGTCGGTAGCTCACGCCACATAAAACCGATAATTTTCCCAATCTCCCACAGTTTGTGATCCGGATTTTCCGTTTTGACATTGTCCCAGACACGACGTGAGTATCTCATGTATGGCATCAATGGTTTCTCTGGTGGTTTCGGTGGTCTGGGTGTCTTTGGATCAAACTGTTGGTTTTTGAAGCGAATAAAAAAACAAATCAAAATATCAACAAAATGTTCCATATCATTGGAGATGTGTGTCTTGGAATGGACCATTCCTCAAACCGTTTGCTTACAATGTTCGAGCTTTTGCTAACTTTTTGCGGTGTAAATGCCGGGTTACCATGATTACTATGGCTAAATGGATTCGAGTCCTTATTGCGTTCCGATTGGCTTGATCCACCTGATGCGCGCAATCGTTCTGTTTTACAATCATCACAGAGAAGAAAGATTACCAAAAATTAAAATGTTGAAACCAATCGATGCAAATGATAATTCAGAGAGATAAAGAGTGTATCGGGCATCCTCTTGAAGTAAAAGCATGACGCAATGGATTACATATTCGATGCAACGGTCTATTGTTCTAAAAATAGGTTTGGTCGATATAGAAACAAAACTCAACTAAAATAGGAAAACAACAATAAGAAAAATCACAACGGTCGACTGAATCGAGCTGAATCCATTTGATGGCGTTTGATCAGTCAGCGGTTACAGATAGATTCCGTTGTCAATTGGACTATTATATAGAAATTAAAGGGGGTGGCAGCAATTAAAATCTATTCATGCATAAAAATACATCAAAATATACAACTAGTCTACACATATTGGTAAGGGTGGTGGAGGAGCGTAGAACTAGAAACAATGAGGGCAGTATGTTGCTTAAAATGCTAGCAGAACATTATGAGCTAAATTCGTCCCTAGCAAATTCATTATCCAAAGTTGGCAAACAACGCAAATCTTTTCGATCTACGAATCGTTTGTTCTTTACTTCGTATATTATAAGCTAAAAGCTAAGGTTCTTGTGAGTCTGAGTCTAATTTTATGAGCGTAATGTGTGTGTAGTTTTTTTTATTTTTCGTTTTGTAGATAAACATTGCATAAAACAATTGTTTTTTTTTTGTTTGGATTTTGTTATTAATTTGAATCAAAAATTACCTTTCAAAATGTTGAAAGTAACGGGCGAAGAGGACATCATATGCGAATCTAAAGAAAACAACAAAATAAAAAGAAAAAAAAGTAGCACAAATCTCGTTTTTTTTTCTTTCTTTCTTTCATTTCGTTTAAAATCACAAAATTCAGTTGCGTTGTATGTTTTGATTGTGTTTTTTTGCCTATTTTGAACTAAAAGTGTTGCGCTTGATTTTGTTGATTTTTTTTTATTTAAGCCAAAAATCTTGATTTCTTGTCTCCGGTGTTGTGTTGCCCAAAATTGTATGCCAAAAGTGAAAAAAAAAATGTTTGTTTGTTTTGTTTGCGTGAAAAGAGTGTAACCCAAAAAAAAGAAAAAAAAATATGTAGCCATCGAAATGTGATTGTGATTGACATTGATGTTATTTCTGTATTTTTTTTTTTCGTTTTATTGGTTACTTAAGAGATGTGCAAGTTTTTTTCTTTCATTTTAAAGCTGCTCTGACTTTTCGCAGACGGAAAGCTGACGAGGAAAGACCATTGCTTTTGTTTTTTTTTGTGTGTTTCTTGAATGGTTATGTGTATGCTATGGTACAGTGATAAGTAATTGTGCTGATTGTGTCTGTGATGTGTATGTGTGTCTCATCCCTTGCTAGTTTTTTTTTATTGCCCTCTCCATAAACGTAATTACAAACTAAGGGTAGATGTCGTCGGTGAGCGACGAATGTGTTCGTCTCAATAAAACGAACATGGTATCGAGACAAAATGAACTGCCTTACAAGCCCTTGGTTTTTTTTCTCAGAAAGTCTTATATAGAAGTCCGAAATAAAAACCGATTCGATTTCCATTGCGCTTAAATCGATAGAACAACAATTTTTTATATATAGTAGATTACAATTTGTTATTAATATGGGGAAGAAATGAATGTTAGACAGTTTGGAGAGACAGAGAGAGATAATAATGAGCACTACTAAAAGCGCCACATGCAAAACAATTCCTTGCTTTTAATCGTTATGGACAAGCGTTAACAAATGAGCAACAGATAAACATATAGAATAATTTTTTGTACACAATTTGCAAAGCTTTTTGAAAATAATTGTGATCGATTTGGTTTTATCGAATCGGAATCAAATTGATTAAGCAAAACAAGTCACGATTTGCTTGTGTCAAACAAGTCGCGCTTATTTTGTTTAGAACATAAAAAAAAACAATAAAATGCCATTACCAATTTGAATAACATTCAAACAACAAGAAATCGGTATTCAATCGGAAGTTTATAAGAAAATATTTGGCATTTTCTCATTACGATTTTCATACCGTGAAATGTGTGAGTGTGGGGGGGAGGGGTTAGTGTGTGATGATTGCAATTGATTTTGACGCCACTGTTCCAGCATTTTCTTGGCATTTTTGAAGTAATGTATGTAAAAAGCGTAGGAAAAACGGAACCGTCGGTCAAAATCGATACATTCTCCCAACTCTCAATGAAATCCCCGTTCTTCCATTTCGGTTGCACAAAAATCGTCGCCTTTCTCTCACGCACACACATTATTTCATGCGTTTTGATTAAAACATTGAGCAATGAAAAGAAAACAATTGAAAAATTCATCAAGAGACAACAAAAATAAAGCAATTAGAATGAGCGAGAGAGGCCATAACAACAGACATAACCGAAAATTCAATGCGGGCCAATTTGAGAGGAAAAAAAAACAAACAAACACAAAGCAAGTTAACATGAAAATGAAATTGATGTACGAACAGACAGTAGTAGACTGTAAAATGTTTGAACTCACGATTTCCCGGCGTTCCAGGCATTATACCCGATCCGGGTATTTGCTTACAATTTTGCGGCAATGCCATTTTTTTTGTTTTATTACATAAATTCCACGGCTGTTTGCTGTTGTCACTGATTCACCGTTCTGAAAATTAAATCGAGTTTTTTTTAGTCAAAATCGGCGCGGCAATTTTCGTTCCCACTCAGTAGTATCGTTTTTTTTTTGACAACAAAACGACGCTTGTGTTGTGTTACTTACGTACACAAAAACTCTGGAAATTTTAAGAGAAATGGATTGATTCACTTGAATGCAGATGTTGGCAACGGGATTTCGCTTCGGTTTTAATCCAAATTTTAGGCTGGAACAGCTGCCGCAAGAGCACTAAACAACAAATATCGAGAATAAATCCCTCAGTTTAACATAGAACAACGAAACACTATGCGAACACAGACGCCATTTGTATAATTTCAAAATGTCATCGACGCGCTATCGTCAGACTCTTTGCCGTTTGTCATTATTCAAACAGTGGCGCTACTGTTCAGAGGCTCAACAGGCCTTTCTGACTTTCTCAATGCTATTGCAATAGTTGTCTCGCAGCGGCACCATCTATTGAAAGAACGCACAAACCAATGCGCTATGTAAAACATCTTAAATGATTCTTTTTCGAATCGTAGCGGAAAATTTATTCGAAATTTTTTGAATTGAAAAGTTGTATTTTGAAATGAAAATATTTCTGGATACTTTCAACACAGTTAATAATAAGAGGAAAAAGATGGAGAAATACGTTGTTATTGATATTGATATTCTCATGTTTATTTGAAAAAAAGTTATTTTTCTCTATTTTCCATTCCAATTTTATTTTCTATTCAATCAAACCAGATTCAGCTCCGTTATATTGTGATTCGTCATTAAAATACGTTTTGTTCTCAATATTTTCAAACATTTTCCAAGCAAATGAGGAAAACAATGCAAATATGTGAAATGGTAATTATGCAATTTTGCCGTCAGAGGGTTGCACGCGACGATCAACTGCGATAAATTATCTGTCATTCAGTGGTGGTATTGCTGTTCGATTTCATGAGCAATGCTCATTGAGCATTTGTTCATTTGAATCATTTCTTATTGGGACGGCGCATCATTCGGTTCGTTCACTGTGAAAATTCACTTCAGCATCCACATTTTGTCTTCAACGAATTTCGTCATCGTACATTGAACACAATGTGTAAGTCAAAGCAACCTGTTAGTTCTAACTTTTTCGGGGAAAAAAAATATTTGAACAGAAAAACAGCATATATTTTCGAATAAGACGTAATTTTGGATAACTTTTCAACAAAATCATATGAAAATAGATTTTTAAAAAATTGAAAATGGATTCTTTGATACTTGTTTAATAACGGGATTAATTTTTCTTCATTTAGCTTCGCGTGATCATTGGGACACCCTCAAAGCCTACAAGGAAATGGACAGACAGGATCGAGAAGCCGCAAAAACGAGTTCGGTTCCAGAATACCAAAGAACCGGCGTTGTGGACATTAGCTCACGCGGATCCGGAGGATACTCGCAAAGTTCGGGCAATTCGGGCAATTCCAATTCGAACCAAGGCTCGTACAGATCCAAATGAAAAGAAAGACAAGAAACCAAATGTCCTACAAAAATTACGCACTTTCCGATTTCAAAGTCGTTGATTCAAGAAATGTGAATAAAATACAATTCGGTTTTTTATTTGTCATGACCAAAACTTGATTGAACGTGTTTTTTCTTGTCAAACGGTCGGTTTGCAACGATATTTTATAGCTTGACTTTGACTCGAGCCATTTGTTTTCTAAAGAAGGTCTTTGTCTAGCCTTTGGTTACTGCCGCAATTATAATCAACTATGGTGAGTGGAACAATATTTGATGATGTCATTTGAAGCAACTACGACAACCATTCACCTTATTATCTGCAAATCCATCCGCTATGCCCACGATTATCTAACGCAAATCATCCGTTTTTGATGATCATCCGATTCTGTAATGTTTTTCGGTCACATTTTTTGCCAATGTCCACCCGGCCTATGGTGATACATTTTTCTATTTGATTTAATTTGAATAATTCAATGAAACACTTTTGACGTTTAACCATCGCAAGTGATAAAACATGACACACGCAGGTGATGAACATGAAAATTCATGTTTCAATTGCGTGCAACTACGAACTTAGGAGAATCACATAAGCAAGACGAAATCATTTGTGTTTTAATTGAATAAATCCATCGCCGGTCTCTCAACTCCGTTCAATCAGCCAAGTCAGACAAATCGTGCAGTTATTTCCTGTTGTTAAAAACCCTTACAATGCTGTGGATTTGCTATTTTGATTCAGTATATGATTTAGAACCAAAATACGGTACTCATGAGTGTTTTCAACGTACTTTCCTCGAAAATGAAATGACGTTTCATCAACTGAATTGTTTTTCAAAACAAAGCAATGGAATATTTTGCGTTGGAACTCATGAATTGAGGGTAATTGACTCTAAAATTGCTAAGAAATGAAAAATGAACCAACAATAATAAATATTTCGATTTCATTCTTTGCATGGTATTTTATTTCATCTCTGATGTGACATTTCACAAATGAAAATGGATTTGGTAATTGAATGGTAAGTGTCGTCAATTAATCGATCTTTCCTTTTTTCATTCCAAAATTGAATCTCCACTAAAATGAAATGAATAATTGTTTAATGTTTATGCTGAAGTGTATCAGTTTTTGTTTAAATTAAATATGACTCGGCTGACTATGTTTGTGTTGAAAAAATTGAACGAAATCCGAATCATCAAAAATCTTTATTGCTCACTCTTGTTATGACTCATTCAATGATTGTCATTGCGTCTGAGTTTACATAATGAGATTTCCACATGTTTTTGTTTATATTAGAATAAATAATTTTCTTACGAGAGTGTCACTTCAGCGAAATAAATCAATATGTTTCAAGCATTTTTTGAGTTAATAGACACATGGCACATTCATAAACATTATCATTCCGAAATTTATTCTGAAAACTGAATAAAGTCTGGGACATGTTTACAGTCAAAGGATGGCAAAGTATCACCAATAGCACTGAACTATTTTTGCTTATCAATCGTATATTAAATACAACCGCATTACACCGTTTGTTTATTAAAATTTTCCAAAAATTGAGCAATGTCATCACTAGTTGACGTTCGTGTAAAGTTTCAATTGAAACACACACTCATAAATCCATGGCACTTAAAACAAAGTGAAAAATACTGACCGCTGATCGTAATTTCGATTTTGTTGAGGGCATTTTTGTTTATAAATATTTTCTTTGGAATGCCATTTGATTCAAAGGCATGCAAAAAATTAGGTCCATGTGAGGTATTTTTGCTATTGCTCAAAAGTCAGACCCAAAGGAGGACTTACACTTATTGTTGCTCTTCATAAATTTGAAAATGAAATGGATTTTCAGTCGAATGTTTCGATGTGATGCCATCTATCGAAAGAATACGAAAATGCATGCACCATAAATTTCGGTTCATCAAACGATCTCTTTGAACGATCGCGAAAATACACAATCGATCGAAAAACACAATTTTTGAATGGTTAATAATCGTTTTTATTTTCATAGCAAATATTTCAATTAATGAACAAGGGCAATGAGACAAGAAATCGGTCACGTTAATTCAGCAACAAGTATGCAGCCATTTCATTTTGACATTTGACAGGAGTCTTGCGTCGCCTAATGTTTGCATCATATAATTCAAACTATACTCTCTTTGTGTCCATGTAAACTGTATTTTCACTTTTAAATTATCATATCCGCAAGAAAGTATGGAAAAATATAGAAAACCCGAAATTAATACCACTGCGGGCATGAAACTATCATCGTATAAAAGATGTGGTATGGAAAGCCAAATGAAGATAGCAAGTATAACACCAAGCTCCAAATCGATTGTCACAGAGAGGGTAATATAAGTTGATAGAAGTTTTTTTTAATAGTTTGTAACATTTGTTTTTGATTTTTTTTTCCAGTCTTTAAAACATTTGAACTTCCTGTCCAAATCGGACATTTATCGACTATCTGCTCTAAATGTAAATGATCAAAAGGTCTACGCAAAAAACTCAAAAAAACAACTACCATTCACCACAAGAATCGATACTGAGCCAATACTCAGTGATTATTTGAGACCCACAACTGACATGAAACTTCAATTAGAGCTATGTGACTTCAACGACGAAGTGAAATCAGAACCCACAATTCATAGACTACAATCTCACACAATCATACAATACGATTTTTTAATTTAATTTGTTACACATTCAAAGTCTTGTTACTTGTTCATTCATATAATACTCATAATATTCATAACTTCGTTTCACAGTAAGAAAAAATCGGTTCAACTGTTGGAATCGTTTGCGTCGAAGTGCCGTTACGAATTCGAATAATTACGAATCATGTATTAACTTGTGTATTGATGTAAATTATTTTAAAAGATAAAGAAGTTGAATTCAGTACAAAGATTTTGATTTACTGCTGTATTTAGCTCCCATTTTTAATTTACTTGTATATACAGGCCTGCCACAGATTTTTTTTCTGAAAAAGCTGAAAAAGCTGATATTACCAGTTTGAAAAAGCAAGCAAAAGCTGATGAGATTAATATGGCAAAATCAAAGAAGCAGTTATAAAAATAGTTTTTTTTAGTGTTTCTAGTCGAATCATAACTGAAATTTAATTTTCAATCTTACTTGCTACGCAGTTGACTTATAAATAATATTGCTAACTGAATTAAATTTGACTTCCATGTTTCCAATATGTTTATCTCGCATCAAGTGTTGGGTACAGCAGCAAATCCTTTGCTTTTGATGTTGATAGTACTATCGCAGGCTGAACATCTCAACGTAAAATCTTCTTCCTTCTTGAAAAATTCTTTGTATTTCACTTTGCTTTTATCTTTCATTTCGAATTCCAAATTAAACCAATCATTTTTTTCAATAGAAATGTACTTGTTTGATTTGAATGGAAATGTGACTCGTGCCAAAATCGAATGTGTGCACTCATTTTCACCGGGGCGTGGAAACGAAACTTCAAACGTATACTACGCGCCCAACGTAGTGAACGCAAGTATACTTTGACAGCGGATCTAGTACTACAAATTCTACCTTGGAAATTCTACTTTGCAAAGTACAGCACTTTTTTAGCATTTGTGCTACATAGTGAAATTCAGTTCTATACACGGAACAAGACAACACAACAATTTTCAAGTTCAAATTTCAATTACACGCATTGAAAGTTTGATTCGATAGCGTATAATTCAAATTTGATTTTAAAAATATTATGTCGTCATGTACCGTGTATATATTTGATTTTAGTAGCACATATTCTACACAGGTAAACTATACTTTACAAAGTGGAATTTGAGGGAAAATAATTATGGAAAATGGCAAATTCTTGTTTTTAATGTGTAAAATATATGCGTAACAAGTGCAATGCCTTGATACATACGCTGTATTATATACTATGCATCTGAAGTTCACTATGTAGTACACATTCTGCACATGTAAACTATACTTTACAAGGTAGAATTTCTGATTTTTCAATGGACAGTTTCCTCAATTTTTCTCTTATACTGGACTTGAATAGCTTATCCGATTGTGTTGGAATTGCTCTTGGCTACTGCCATGAGCAAAGAAATGAAGATCTGAGAGTTTGGTAGCAATCTCCAAATGTCTTCTATTATTTTTGAGCTCGTTTCGATTCATTGATTCCTGGATTTTTCGTTCACTCATTTCACTTCAAATTCAGTTGATTTTCCTTCTTTGTAGAGATGATAACAATCATTTTACAAAGAACTACAAGGAAAATCAAGTGCCAATATATATTGGTTTTGATGGCCTTGTTTGGATAGAGTCGAGATTGAAGTGAAATGAGTAAATGAAAAATCCAGGAATCAATGAATAGAAATGGGCTCAAAAAAGACAGAACTTCTTCGAAAATCGCTACCAAATGCGGAACTTTTCTTTACTCACGACAGTTGCCAGATACAATTCCAATACAATCGGACAATCTATTTGACTACTTCCCAAACAAATTTTTTGGTCCACCTTCAAAAATCAGTGAAAAATTGAAGATTTCATTCTGCAACTATGCTTTTCTCCCGATATAACTGCTATTTGGATATTGGAATTTTATTTTTGTATCACAAAAGTTATCTATGCCAAATTCCAAGTAAATTGGATGAAAATTGATCATTTTTACTTGTAAAGTATAGTTTACAATACAATGCATCGAGCGTCATGGTATACTCAATCAGTTTATTTATATTTCCGTACAGACTTTGAAGCATGGAATAAAACTTCTATTTCAGTAAACAGTAGAATGTATTCAGATTGGGATTTGTTCGACAAAGTTTAATTTTTAATTTTTACGGCACATATGTTTATGGAAAACAACTCGTGACAAAATAAACCTCACTTCAATTTTATTTTGATTGTTCAAAATGTCAAAAATATGAAAAATAATTGAATAAAAATGGTGGCGAATGCTAATTGTACTAGTTTCAATCAGTTTATTCTAGTACGTTATATACTGGGAGATCAACAAAACATGCTGTGTAGCAATGCTAAATGTAAAATCACGTAAAATTGAACATTCATTTAACATTTCATTCAATTTATTTGGATAATTTTTATATAGAAAATGAAGTTTCTAGACATGGGTTTTAATGGCCTAGTTTGAGTAGAATTTACA